CAGGATGCTGAACCACTTAGGTCATGGTGTTTTCAGGGAGCTTTGGATTCTTGGCTTCAGTATCATGAAGGTCTTAAAAGAGCTTGAACCACATTGTCTCTGATGTAGCCAGTGTGCCATAAAGCACTGGTGGAAGCTCCCTCATGGGTGCCTCTGCTCCATTTCTAGTTGGTCCTTTCTGTTGTCTGCCAGAAATCACCTTTAGTTCCTGTTGGGGCTGTAGGTGGATGTCTGGAGTCTCATGAAACAAATTACTGGTTATAATTTCTTTTTTTTTTTTTTTTGCTGTTAAGCAGCACAAACAGTTCTGCAGAAGAATAAAAGGCAAAGCAAAACTATGAGATAAAAACATGAAGGCAGGCATAATATTAGTGTTTTGGTTACAGGTGACTTGCTGTAACAGTGTAGGTCAGGAGATGGGAGCCGTTAGCAAAGAAGAGGGAAGAGGGAATCCTGATCCCAGAGCAGGATTTTTCAGCAACTGCCCAGGTAGGAAGAAACTACAAGTCACAAAATCTCTGTGACTTTGCTTACTCCAGAAAGCCAGAGGGAATCACTCCCTGTGGATACTATGGAAATATTAATTAGTATTTAGCATTCTGTTAATTTTACATGGAAACTAGCATAGCGGCAGGTTCCCCCTCATGAGTTACCGATGGGAATTGCATGGCAAGAGAAGAGAAACTCGCTTTAAATACCCTTATTACCTTGAGCTTGTTTAAACCATAGCGAACAGCCTATAGCAACATAGGTAATGTGTTTGAAGCAAGATTAAGGGTGATGGGTTTGTTTTCACTGGGAAAGAGGGAAATTATGAGATGAGATATAGGAGGTTTTCTCAAAGGAAGGATTAATAGGGTGAGCTTTCCAACCCAAGCATCCCCTGCTGTGGACGGAAAATGAGAATGTACAGTAGAAAAGGTGAATTCTTCAATGACTGAATTTCAGGCTGAAAAAATACGATATTGACAATATTTGAATGGTCATAATGAAGCTAAACTTATCCCTATTCAGACATCCTTCAGGGATGAGGGAGCACTGTTTATTAACAGCATAGTATTGGTCTAAAGGGTGATCTGAATTACACTTAGGTAAAGAAGAGTCATTCGGGGGGGCTGTCTCATACAGGAGATAACTAACATCTTAAATTATTAAGGGATGTAACTGAAGTGAAGAATTCCAGAGCTATCTAGGCTGACAGCTGGAGAAGAAAGACCCTGAGTTGTCTGCAGGAAAGAGATAGACCAAAACCCCTAAAAGGTACAGTAGGTTTTAACAACCTTTTTTTAGTTTTAGGTTTGGTGGTTTGAGTTCGGTTTTGTTTTTTCAATTAATATTGTTGGAGCTGTGTCATATGCTGGCACCTTTTTTTTCCTTATTGAAGTTATCTGTAAGAGAAATGACATTTGACCTCCTGCAAATAGACTTGAGGTACTTTTCTATTAACATAAAGAAATGAGACCATGCAGGGGAGTACGATGTACATATGTGAAGGTAACTGAGTCAGGACCTCTGGTGCCAAGTAAGGAAATGGGCATTTGGTGGGTTTATTTATGTCTGCAGATAGAAATAATTGGTATTCTCTGATCAGGGAAGTCTCTGGACTGTGGTTAGTAGGAGGCCTTTCAATTTGTGATTGAAATTATTTATCAAGGTCTCACAGAATTATGTCTATATTTGCTCAGTTCCAGCTGGTTTTATTAATGCGCTGGTGTGTCCCTCTTAATTTATTAACATTTTAGCCATTTATGTGAGCATTTTGGTCCACAGGAAGCAGGCAGTTAGCAATGGAAGACTTTTACATCCATTGAAAAGCTGTAACTTTTGTGGCCTTTGCCCCCCAATCAAACCACAGCTTCTGTACCTCGGCTGTCCAGCTCAGCCCCTGCCTTGAGCACACACATGTCCAGGTAACTCCCAAAAGGCAGACAGAGATTTCGGAAATGTCTGTGACCCCTGGTCAGTCTGGTCCCTGTAACTGCAGGGCAGAGGAGGGAACCCCAAAACGTTTGCCTAGCTTTTGTCAGTCGTTTGCAATCTTTTATTCTGGATCTGTGAATTCACTGCAAAAAAAAATTTTGTGTGGTCACGTGGACCCCACTGTAGCAGATTTAAACCTGCAGATGATAGACCTGGTTTTCCCTTTACTTTTCACAGGCCCTTTAGAAGTAGTCTGTGGGGTTTCCCCTGGGAATCTCAAGCCAGGGATTGTGGTCACTGCTCTGGCTGTGCATAGAGTCAGAGAAAGGAGAGAAGCTCCAGCAGCAGACCACAGAGGCAGGGAAACCAATTGCCATCTGGAAGAGAAGGGAAGGAGAAGAAATCTCCCTTGGGAGAAACCAAACATTGGAGAACAAGGCAGATTAAATGGAGTCCTGAAACAGGTAGGAAACTTGCACCTTGTTTTGTCTCTCATTCTTGCACAGCTGCTCTTACATCTTTCTTACTCTTCTGAGTTCGTGCCAAGAGCATAAAAACCAGGTAATGCCACTTTCCACGCTGTGGAGCTCTCTGGAGACGGAGCAGTCAGAGTGTAACAGAGGGAATATGTCCTGAGGGACAAAGATAAAAGGAGATTTGCTTGAGAGGAATCTTCAAATGCAAGGTGTCTCTGTCTGCTACACCTGCAGAATTCTTAACAAGTCATCACAGAGCAGCACACAGTCCTGATGTGGTCCTGGACATGCCATGCAGTGGAAATGTTCCACTCCAACAACTTCATTGTCCTGAAATAAATTAAAACAATCAATGCCGTTACATTGGCAGCACAGTCAAATTTATGGTATCTCTGGCCAGTGCAAGGGGCATCTCAAGAACTTGGTGTGAGCCTGCTGTATTTTCATTTGAGTCTTTCATTTGTCCTAAGTGTAAAAACTTCAGTCAACCCTAGTTTGTTTGGAAAATAAAGGGGGCCATGTGGCAAAAGTTATTCAGCATAAGCACTGCCTTTGGGTCAAAAATTCATTATACCTCCTAGAAGACTGTGAAATAGTAGAAGAAACTACTGCATCTTCCCTGCACAGACATTTACAGGAGTGGAAATGGGGGGAGGCAGCTAATTAAAGTCAGGGAGATGAAAGCGAGTAAGAAGGATTCTGGTAACCCCCCTGCATTCCTGTTTATTTAGATTGCAGTCTTCTATAGCCATAGATTCATAATATACAATTGAAATGCAAGTGCTCTTCCTTTCCCTGTTCCCAAAAATACCTATAGCTCTTCTTTCATCGAGGGCGAGCCAACAGCATAGCAAGCAAAGCCCATGTTCTGCAGCTTTGGCAAGGACTGCTAGGAAAATCCATCATGTATTATCTGTTCATTGACTTGGAAAAGGTATCAGTCATATTCCTCATCTACATACTTGAAGAATGTACAATTTGCTGTAACAGTCAAACAAAATCATACATTTTCATACATCAAGACCAAACCCTGGTGGTACTGAGTGTGGTGGAAAGAACGTAGAAAAACACTTGCTGATTTCCAGTGATGTCTAGTCTATAATCTTTATTTAGACTGTGTTAAAATAATTTAAACGCCTCCCCTGTAAAAAATAAACTATACTCAGAATAGCCTACAGTTTCA